TTTACCTCAAAATTCAAGACACAATTACTCAACTTTATAGAAATTTCAAAACTAAGGATGGAAAGCTTGAACAACTCCCTTTAGTTCCAACAATTATCAATAAATCCATTAAACATCATTAATGGAGTCCAACCTCCCTCTCAACCAAAATATATGTAATTTTCGTCCAGAATAAGAAACTCAAGTTTAAGGGTGCTCAAAATCATTAATACTAAGTTTAAACAACTCAAATAATTTCTATTAATTCCATTTAAGTCAATGGGTTTAGACTTATAGCCTCAAGATTTAAAAATCACTTTTACCATTAAACCTTAGCTTCCAAATCTATTAAAAGAGGAAAATGGAGGAAGATTGGGACTTGAAAAACTTACCTCAAGTGATTAAAAGCTTTAAAATGCTCCCAAAGCTTCAAATTTTCGAGCCCTAGCATAATCCTTAGTGTTCTCCTTCATCCTCTTGCTTAAACCTCTATTCTCTCTCTATTTTTCTAATTGAAACTCGACCTTATTACTTTCAGATCTAGTCCGTGAATGGGTTCCTTCTAAGTTAATTAAAACATTATAAAATTAAAAAAAAATAAAAATCCTCATAATCTTTCAGAAATTAAAGAATACACATTTAAAAGTCTAGTAAGAAAATTCAAATCTTAGTTAAAAAATAATTCATTTTTTATAAATACACAAATATAATAATTATAAAAAAATAAAAAATATCAAAAATTTTATACTGTATATTGATATTTATTAAATTATATTAAATTAATTTTAAAATAAAATAAAATTAATAATAACATAACGAGTGTAGGGTCAGGGCTTCGGATGAGCGGGTCCTTTCTGGCTTTAAACGCATGTTCCATAAAAGAAAAAATAAATAAAAATATAACAGGGCTTGAAGGATTGCTCGGGTCCGAGCTCTTTTTCACAAAGCTTATCAGGGCTAGGCTCTTAAGCCCGGTTATTTTAAAAAATTTAATTTTTAAAGCTCAAACTTTTATTTAAACAGAGCTTTCAAGCTCGACCCTTTAGACCCAACCCTTATTCCCGACTTTACATAGAGGTACTTCCTCTCTTCTTTCAGCCGATTGTGATGTAGCAGATAATATATGCCATGACGCATGGTACAAAACCACACGCCTCCACTTTCTCTTTCTTTTAGGCCTACTTGGCTCACACTTGCTCTCGAACCTATTGTCTAAGGTTATTACTAAGCTTGAATGGTCCCTTAATCCTCTTTAACTGTTCCCTACTTCAATTTCCCTTAATTAGACTTAATTGTATCATTAATAAATCAAGGATTAAAATTCCAAATATTACAAATGTGGAGTTACATTTGATAACATCTCTTAGAAGTTCTGAGTCTTGAAGGATAATTCTTTGCCAGAGTTTAAATTTAAATTTAAACAAAATTTCTTATGTAGGTATATAAATATTATGGATCAAGATTTGATTTAAATTTAAATTCATGTTTTGTTATAAATTATTATAATTCTAAATTCTCTTTTAAATTATGGTTATTTGAAATTATAATTACTCTAACTCTCTTGTTTTTCTCTTCATATTTTTACTATTGATATCTCTATTTTTTTGTCTCTCATTTCATCTCTCGTCCTTGTATTTTACTAACTGAAAAATAGAGACAAGCTTGTTATTATTAATTTTTTATTTTTATTTTAAATTTCATCTTGCTTCTCGCATACCTTTAAAATTATTTAAGCTATATATCTAAATAACAGATTTAAAATACATGATTTTTAAATATATAATTTAAAATTTAAATTTAAATTCATCAATAGAAATACTGTATCAGTTTTATTTTAAATGAGATGAGAATCATTTCAGGGATGACACACTGACTCGAACAAAGAAAAAAAAAATGATAATCCAACCTTTAGGTGAAAATTAAAACAACCTAGCCACTTACTTGTTATTAAAAACAAATACTTGTGATAATAAGAGTAATATAATAATATAGTATAGTCAACTTTCGTAAAAATTGGACTTTAGTTTTGCATTGGTGAACCGAGTTTTCACGCTGTCACTGTCTTTCTTTCTTTTCTTATTTAAATCATGACAGGGAAACCCTGTGCATTTACCCTCTTCATAAAGCAAGATTTGATAACCAGTTATTTTCATATCTCATAATAGCTGAGATCCACAATAGTGAAATTAATATTTCTTTAATTTGTTTGTCTCAAAATGAGAATTTCTATAAAAAAAATCCACAATTATAATCTATAGATAAATAATTAGGTATTAAATATGAATATTTTTTAACAACAATTCGAATCTTGGTTTTAGTCCTTTTCACTAGATATAATTTTGCTAATAAAGCTGAGAAAAGAAACGAGAAAAAAGGAATCGAAAGGTGACGAGACAAAGATTTTCAACGTTGGCGCTGGCCCAAACCAAAAGCAGTGACGGATGGTCTACTTTTGCACAACTTGCCCTTGTGTGGTCATAAATGACACTGATCCACGGCTTCTTGCTCTGCATCTTCCATCATGTCGGTGTCACAGCTGAGTTGGATAATCTGTTCCCATCCTCCTTGAATCATTTAAATTATTTTTAATATATTTTATAAAAAATGAAAAAGATTTCAGATCCCATTAATTTGATCTTAAAATAAAAAAATTCATTTTTCTATCTACTAACAATAAAAAGAATTATTTTTAATATTTTTTAGTATTTAATAAGGTAAAAAAGTAAAGAAGAATATAGAAAATACTGAAATATCCTATAAATAAGATTAAAATTAATTTTCTCTTTCTATCCTATAAATAAAATTAAAAGAGTATTTCTCACCATAAATTTTCACATAAATATGATATATTATATCATCTATACCCTATTTAATAAAAACATGTTACTATGATAAATAGCATCTTCTTTGTCAAAAAATGTAATTTGGTGTGTGAAGAATAAATTTTTTCAGAATGATGGGAAAAAAGAGATTATGGATATTTTTTAATTAAAATAATAAAACCTTCAATTTATAGATTAAAAATGCTTGAATTTAATTAATTTGTTTTGCAGCTAAAAAACACCGCCACAATCGACAATTTTATTGTAGAAATACGATGCTTTGTTCAGTTTGTTGGAAATAATGGGGAGAACAGAGATACAGTGGGACCAAACGTAAGCTTGAACGTTAAGGCCATGTTTGGTATGCAGCATTGAAGGGTTGGGTTTGGCATTGGCATTGAATAAGGCCCAATTTAATGTGTTTGGTATAAAGCATTGGCTCTTATTTGGGTTTGCTGAAACCCACCTAGGTGGGATTACACAAACCCATCTCCTACCTGGTACTGAAAAATTAAACCTGGGTTTATAATATTTTATGACAATATTATCCATGGTTATAATATTTTTTGACAATAGTGCCCCTGTTGAGTTTTGCCCTGATAAAAGTCATCAGCATTGCAAACCTCAAGTCGAACGCATCTCCATCGGCGCCACAAGAGACTCATCCATCGTCCATCGATCTGCCCTGTTGCCATCTCCTTCATCGCGCCTTCAGGTACTGTTGCTCCGTCCTCCCCCTTCGTCGATATTCTTCTTCCATCTTCTTTGTATTTGGCTTTTCCTTTTCCTTCAGGTACTGTTGCTCTGTCCTCCCCCTTCGTCGATATTCTTCTTCCATCTTCTTTGTATTTGGCTTTTCCTTTTCCTTCAGGTACTGTTGCTCCGTCCTCCCCCTTCGTCGATATTCTTCTTCCATCTTCTTTGTATTTGGCTTTTCCTTTTCCTTCAGGTACTGTTGCTCCGTCCTCCCCCTTCGTCGATATTCTTCTTCCATCTTCTTTGTATTTGGCTTTTCCTTTTCCTTTAGGTACTGTTGCTCCGTCCTCCCCCTTCGTCGATATTCTTCTTCCATCTTCTTTGTATTTGGCTTTTCCTTTTCCTTCAGGTACTGTTGCTCCGTCCTCTCCTTCACAAATGATTGTTTGTAGGTTTTTATCTGCATAATCTTTAAAATTTTTTGAAATTGTAAGAGCCAAACCCTTTCAAGAATCCTATTACATCTGTCAAGAAAACAGAACCGATTGCATAAGAAATAATACAAAATGTATATGAGAGGCAGATATTGCGTACATACCTACTGTGGGTTCAGGAAACCTCAATCTCATTTTCTTTAGTCTATACGTCAAGAAATCAATAGGCATTCTCTTCATTTACTTAGGCATAAATTCAACTGTGGGTTCAGTGTCTTTTCCTTTCCTCTTCGTATTACTAGTTTAGGATACTATTTTCTATTTTGTAGTTTTTGAAGCTGAGATTAAATTTTCAGAGCATCAAATCTTGTTTAGCTTTGTAATTGTAATAGATGAATTGCTGTGCAATATAAAAGTGTTATCATTTTCAACAGCTTCATTACTTATCATTTTCAGCAGCATCAAATATTGTTTAGCTTTGTATTAAATATTGTTTAACGGCATTTTGAAGCAACAAAAAAGAAGCAGCTCTGAATCAATCAAACAATATCTGTCTGCTTAATTTTCCAATATTTTAACCAATTTGTTAATAACTTATTATCTATTTGACCTATTGGACACACACATCACCTCTTCTACTTAAAAAAAATCTATAATTATAATTATGTTAATGTGAAGACAGTTTTAAAGTTGAAAAATCAATTTATGTTTATAATAATAATTAACCATACCTGATGATAGTTTTGAATTCAAATATAAATAACGTGCTTTAAAAAAAAAAATAAAATAACATAAAGATACTGTTCTAAGACATGTTTTTATTTTTTAAATATTTAAATCTGAAACACTTATCTAATTTTTTATTTTATAATAGAAACCATACCTTTGTTTTTTGTTTTGTTTTGTTTTGATATTAAGACAAAGTTAAGAAACAATTGGGAAGAAAAACTAATTGCAGAATAAAATAAATCAAACAGGTCCTTGATCATTTGCTATACTAATACTATTTTATACTTTTATATTGCACAGCAATTCATCTATTATTTTTTTTGAAGAGTGTTATCACTGTGATTTATTGTTAACCACTAATTACTTTTATTCCATTACATATGTTAAATATTAATCTTTTATATATCTGTATAATTGGTACACAGTTATGGCACTATCTGAGGAAAAGAGAATACTATTACGTTTGTTTCTCTTCTGGATGAGCATGACTGAGGCAGTGTATGCGTTTTGTATTTGTATGTGTATGACTATCATACTAAGGAGACGAAGAATCAGACATATACCTTACAAAATGGATTTTATTGCTAAGAGATCTTACCTAAAGAGAATGATGTCTAGCAGTGATGTAGCCTGTTACAACTTACTTAGAATGCATAGATCAACATTTGATAAGTTGTGTTCTATGCTAACGGATGTGGGTGGTCTTAAACCTAGTAAGAACATGCTTGTAGATGAACAAGTTGCCATGTTTTTACACATACTAGCACATCATGTGAAGAATAGAGTAATACAACATAACTTTGGTAGATCGGGAGAAACTATTAGTAGGCATTTCAACTCAGTACTTACTAGTATGATGAGACTTGGAGATATGTTGTTGAAGAAACCAGAGCCAGTGGCTGATGACTCTAGCGACGAAAGGTGGAAGTGGTTTAAGGTAAATATATATGTTATGTATTTATCATTATTTTTGAAAGTTGTGTGAACAATTTGTATTAACTTTTTTTTACTTTTCTATTTTATAGAATTGTTTAGGCGCCTTGGATGGAACTCACATCAAGTTAAGAGTTCCTTCTCTTGACAAGGCAAGATACCGGAATAGGAAAGGAGAGATAACTACAAATGTGTTGGGTGTTTGCTCACAAGATGGTTTCTTTATATATGTTTTGCCTGGGTGGGAAGGGTCCGCAGCAGATGGACGGGTTCTTCGTGATGCCATAAGTAGAAGGAATGGCTTGAGGGTTCCACAAGGTCACTATTACTTGGTTGATGCTGGGTACACCAACTGTAAGGGATTTCTTGCACCGTATAGAGGGCAAAGATACCACTTAAGTGAATGGAGAGAAGGGCGACATCCTAGAAGTGCACAAGAGTGCTTTAATATGAGACACTCTTCTGCACGAAATGTAATTGAGCGGTGTTTTGGTATTTTGAAATTAAGGTGGGCTATACTAAGAAGCGCATCTTTTTATCCCATTCGAACACATAACCGAGTTATAATTGCTTGTTGCCTCCTACACAACTTAATTCGTCAAGAAGGTGTAGATCCACTTGAAAATGAAGTTCCAGAAATGGGTGTTGATATGGACGGGATGGAAAACACCCCAATTCAAAACATGGATGCTTCTGATGAATGGGCTACCTTTAGGGATACTCTTGCTAATGAAATGTTCACCACTTTTTCTTCTAATAGGATATCTAGATGAATTAGTTATTTCATTTAAACATTATTGTTTGTTTGAATATGTTAATTTTCTTTGTTTCTTTGAGTGTGGTGTATGGTATGATAGAACATGTATTATTGTTATGTCCTTAATAATAATATATTGTCATATTGTCTTATTGTTATTTAACCTCTTCTCAAGTTCTAACATTTTCTTCTTCTAGCTGAACAAACATGTCAAGTAGGTCTGGAAAATCAGACAAGCACATGTGGACACCCGAAGAGGATGAATTATTAATTCAATCCATGATGGTGCTACATGATAAGGGAGAACTTGTATCTGACAATGGTTTAAGGCCACGTGTCTTAAACACTTTGAAGGACATGCTTGATGGTTTGATACCTGGAAGTGGTATTAAAGCCCATCCCCATATTCAGTCAAGAGTTAAGAAGTTAAAAATTAACTATGGTGTGGTTTCTGACCTTCTTAATTTATCTGGTTTTGGTTGGGACCCTGAAAAGAAATGTGTGACAGCTCCCAAGACTGTTTGGGATGAATATGTGAAGGTAAATTTGTTTTTTCTGGTTTTTTGGCTGTTAGTTTCTGCTGTTTCTTTCTGCTGCTTATTTGTTCTTTCTGGTTTTTTTTGCTGTCAGTTTCTGCTGTTTCAATTTTTGCTGTTTATTTATTTTTTCTGGTTTTTTGGCTGTTAGTTTCTGCTGTTTCTTTCTGCTGCTTATTTGTTCTTTCTGGTTTTTTTTGCTGTCAGTTTTTGCTGTTTCAATTTTTGCTGTTTATTTATTTTTTCTGGTTTTTTGGCTGTTAGTTTCTGCTGTTTCTTTCTGCTGCTTATTTGGTATTTCTGGTTTTTTTTGCTGTCAGTTTTTGCTGTTTCAATTTCTGCTGTTTATTTGTTTTTTCTGGTTTTTTGGCTGTTAGTTTCTGCTGTTTCTTTCTGCTGCTTATTTGTTCTTTCTGGTTTTTTTTGCTGTCAGTTTTTGCTGTTTCAATTTCTGCTGTTTATTTGTTTTTTCTGGTTTTTTGGCTGTTAGTTTCTGCTGTTTCTTTCTGCTGCTTATTTGTTCTTTCTGGTTTTTTTTGCTGTCAGTTTCTGCTGTTTCAATTTCTGCTGTTTATTTGTTTTTTCTGGTTTTTTGGCTGTTAGTTTCTGCTATTTCTTTCTGCTGCTTATTTGTTCTTTCTGGTTTTTTTTGCTGTCAGTTTCTGCTGTTTCAATTTCTGCTGTTTATTTGTTTTTTCTGGTTTTTTGGCTGTTAGTTTCTGCTGCTTATTTGTTCTTTCTAGTTTTTTTTGCTGTCAGTTTTTGCTGTTTCAACTTCTGCTATTTATTTATTTTTTCTGGTTTTTTGGCTGTTAGTTTCTGCTGTTTCTTTCTGCAGTTTATTTGTTTTTTTCTGTCGCAGGTAAACAAGAAAGCTGCTAAATGGAGAAACAAGACTTTCCCCCATTATGATGAGCTATCTAATATCTTTGGGAAGGATAGGGCAAATGGAAAGGATGCTCAAACGTATGAAGATATCGTTGAAGAGTTTCATGATCAACATGGGTTTACTTCACCCGTAGAAGATACTCCTACTGAGCACATTCCAACTGATTCTCAAATGGATGGATCACATGCCAATACTTCACCACAAGAGAACTCTCCAACTGAGCTGTCCCCTTCTGATGCAACTTCCGGAGCGAAAAAGAGGAAGCGAAACAGCACTGAAGCTCAACCTTCCATGCTTGAAGGCATGAAAATGATTGTTCAAACACTAGCTGATGGGTTGAAGGAGTCATCTGAGCGTTTTGGCATGCACCTTGATAGAGTTGAACGTGAGAAACGTATTGATGGCATGAGGTCGTCTCTCCTTGTTGAGTTGAAGAAGGTTGAAGGACTTTCCCACCAAGAACGTCTCAAGGCATATGTGAAGATTATTGGTGATGAGAATATGCTAATTGGCTTTTATTCCATGCCTGAAGAGGATAAAGCTGATGTGATTCGCGAAATAATAGCATAAGCTAGTATTAGTGTCACTTGATATTTTGGTGTATCTCGATTTTTTGGTGATCCTTAGTAAAGTTGCAAGAGGATCCTTTATATGTAATGTCATGTTTAGATGTCTAATTTTTTGTGTAAGATATGGCATATCTTACTTGGGTGCTTGGATATATGAGTAGCACCATTGACTATATTTTGTTTCAAAGTAAGATATAGAGTATCTTGCTTCCTTGACCTTATTAATTATGATATGATAAATGACATCCTTTGTTTCATGTTTTATAGAGCATCTATTGGAAGTTTATATAATAGTAGTATATATACAAGTATATATACACTAGCTTAATTTGATCATAAAGTTGCAACTTGGTTCCTTGCCCATATGAAAATGCCATCAAATGAAAGAATTTGATCAGGAATTCTATCAATTAGGGGGGAAGTTTTGATCAAAATATTGCAAAATTTGATTTTATTTTATAACAATACTGAAATTTTCATTTTTGAATGTTAATTATGAGGTGGACGAAGAGACTGATGCAGCATAAAACTTGGAAAATAAATAAACTATAGCTTCAAGTTCAGACTTACATTTAAAGATCCATGGCTATTATAACCACTTGCAAAATTTACAAAAACTTGTGATATAACACTTGCAAATTCCACAGAATCAGAGATATAACCACTAGATTGGAGCCATATAGCTACAGACTTCATAAATAAATCTAAATGCTATATTATATATATACATACACCTCATTTAATTTAGCCACAGAACACAAGCTTGCTTCTTGATGGATTTTTTTGGATGTTTCTGTTCGCCCCCAAGTGCCCCTCTTGAAATAGAAAGGGAAATGCACTGAGAATGCTTCATCTTCGGCTGTGATGACTATGACACGGATAGTTGATGAACCTGCTGAAGGCTTCATTTCCTATAACAGAATGCCTCGCCGAGCAATTGAAGGTTCACTCCTTATTTCCTGCATTTCCAACCACAGTTCGCTTCTCTTTTCCATAAAAGTCTGCTTAATATTTTCTCTTCTTCAGTGTCTCCTGTGATTTTAAACCATATAAGTGAATGCGAGCTTCCATCTTGTATGTTTATTTGCAGAAATCCTGTTATGAAAAATCCTGTGATTTTAAACCATATGGAGTATCGTGATTTTAAACTGTTGTGAATATTTATGAAATATATTCCATCACATTTTTCTTTTACGGGGTCTTTTCAACTCTAGAAGAAGAATGTAATACACGCTAGTTTCTTCCAGAATTTACATTGATATATAACAGCAAAGTAATACAACTTCCTGAAACAAATATGAAGATCATACTGTACTGTCCACTTTGGTCGACTAAAATTCCCTTTTGGTCTCTGAGTATATAGTGAATATGACTCAGACCCAATTGACTTCTTTGTAGATTTTTTGTACCAGTTTGTTCTAATTCTGTCACCCTAAACATGCTTGAATTATATCATGCAATCTTAAATGAGGATAAAATATATTTCATGTTTGAAGCATGAGTAATGAAGTGAAGCAAAAAATCTCTGAAGAAGTCAACTGATACTGGACACATAATCTTTAGAGCACTAACACAGGATCCTAGTCATTACGCTACAAGGAAGATGGGTCTTTGTCTATTATTCTACCTGTTGTGTAATGGATTTGAACCAGTAGGGATGAGTCTCTAGTCATTACGCTACAAGATGAATGGCTAAAACGGCACCTCTTGGAGTTGCACACCTGTTGACATTTTCATCTTCATGCTCACTTGAGCTCTTCTTTTTGCCCTCAATCAAATCAGAGACAAGGAATGTCTTCTTCCTTGCAGATACTGTGTTGTTGGACCTAAGATCTAGGCAAGACCAAAAGACACACCAAAAATATCAATCTCATTGAACCAAGTTTAAGCTCAAAAACATGGAAGAAATGAAGGGCAGAGAAGAAGAGAAAGACCCACAGAGGATTATATACTTGTAAATGGACTAGAGGGAGAGGGAGAGACAGAGGCAAAAGGAATTAATTGGTGCTGATATATTATTATAATTAGAAACGAAACAGCGAAGAGAGAGGGGAAAGCATGACAGGGTTATGGGGCATTAACTATGAAGTACCTCGTATATATGCAGTAAAAGACTGTAATGATATATCACATCTCTTGGGTCAGACATTTCACCAAACATCTTTGAGGCACTTCAATTTCAAGCATTGGCATTGATGGACAACTTGTGAATTCAAACCAACCAAATCAAAGTTTGAGAACAGTAAAATGAGGAGCCAAAGTGGCAATATATGTTCTGTTCCTTACTCTACTAAGCCTTCTCGCCATATAAGAACTATAAAAGGAACCATAAGCACATAGCACAATTAAAGGGCCAGAGATTCAGCACTACCTGATAAATAGTGCTGAATTTCTAAAGATATTTAATATAAGTGAGTTTTTTTTCCCTTTCAATACTCAACTTTGAGCTATATATAATTACAAATGTCTAAAAGCCTATATAAAGTTGCACCTCACGCAATATGCTAAATCAGAAAAGGAAGTCTAACGGCTTGGAAGATAGTACAATCACCACTTGTGTGCTTCTCAATCGATCCTAAAGTCAGCTTCAAGTTTTACATTCTTAAATAAATAAACAATGCTCCCCCTCAATCCTTTTACTTAGTTTCACGAGACTACAGAAATTAATTGGCAGCGAAAGATAAATGGCAGCGTTGAGACTCTGCGTTTAAAACTGTGCTCTCATATTCCACCTCAACAATATCCATCAAATCACATTGATTCTGACCTACTTATTGTACTCAGCGACTTAGTACAATCTTAGAAACATAGGCAGTGCAAATTATGAATTCACATAAATAAACCTATGCACACAAGATAAATAGTAGAACGTAAATATGTTTTCACTTTTCAGGTATCAAGCAGGCATTTTATCCCAACCCATTCAAGAAAACAAAAAAGAAAGACTATCAGTAGCACACCATAGTGAGACCAAAAGAAGATTTTAGTCACCTTTAGGCAGCTTACTACAGCATTAGTCCAAGTTAATTAAATATCCGATCAATCTTTTCATCAAAAAATTTCTTATTCAGATATAGAATGAGCCAGAGAAGAACCTGATAAGCTGCAATTGGCAAAGGAGAATTATCCCTCAGCAACCTTATGATATCCAAATAAGGAAGACCAGGTTTCACCTGCAAATACATCAACCAACCAAGTGAGCATGAAGATTGGCTGCAGGGAGTGCGGGCATTTGTGGAGTTATCGACTGCGACAATGGTAGTATCGTCCTTAGACTTTGAGGAATCGCTGGACTTCAACGACATGGCGGCTTACCCGAGAGCCTGCTCCTCCCTCCGATTCGACCCCTCAAGTCGACGGCCAAGATTGGCTCCTGCTCCTCCTCTCGCTTCTCCTTCACCGTCTCCCATCACTTCGACTCCCTCAAGCCCTGGTACCTGAGCTTCACCGACACCTCAGATTCCAAGGTGGGCCCCTCGCTCATCTCCCCGCTCAACGGCAGAGTCCGAAGTAAATCAAAGGCAGAGTCCGAAGGCTTCAAAGCATACCTGACACGCTCTCCTTGGCTCTTCATTTTCGGCTTAAAGGCGCTTATATGAGTTGATGGAGCTGAGAGAAATCAGAATGGCGCGAACGAAACCCTTCACAATATGGAGCTCGACGATCAAAAATGGAAGCCGGAGATCTCTCGAGTTCACCGTCGCAGAAGTTCATCGGTGAGAAGAAGAAATGACGAGACAAAGGGATGAATATGATCACGTTTGGTTTTTATTTTCTGTTTTTATTATTTTTAAGGGTATCTTTGTCTTTTTATAATTTATATTTAAGTAAAAAATAAAATGAAATAAGGTATTCCTTCAAAATATTCCTACATACCAAACATAATTTTAAAACTTTATTCCCAATCCCAATCCCAATCTCAATCCCAATCCCAATCCCAATCTCAATCCCTCCAAATTGAAACCTACATACCAAACATGGCCTAACTTTATTGGATGAATGAGACCCGCTGAGAGTCTGAAACTCGAGGTCATGGAGAAGAAGCCCATTTGGATGCCTTGTTAGCAACGCACGGAAAAGTGAAATTGAATTCGTCGTTGAATCAATTGAGGTATGGTTTACAAGTTAGTAATATAATCAAGGTTAAATTTAAAATTAATTTAATTACAATTAAAATACTTTTTTCATTTAAAATTATAAAATATTTTTAAAAAATTTTTTCATCTCAAAATATAAAACACTTTGAATAGATTAAGATTTTATTAAATGTATTAATTTTAATATTTTTCTTTTTCTCTTTATAATTAATTTTTATCTTTTTTTTAATATATTAAATAATGAATATTTATGAAAGTTTATATTTTTACTTTAAAAAAATAAATTTATTAAGATTTATTAATATGTAAAATTTTATTTAAAAGTGTCTTATAATTTAATATAAAAAGAATAATAAAATTTAAATAAAAAATATTAATTATCAAAACATTTATAATTTATCCATATCTAAAATTGATGTCTCATCAGATATAAATGTAACAATAATTCTAACGATAATAAAATAAAACAATCTAAATAACAAATATTATCATTACAAGTTACTGGGCAATTCGGTCAAAAGAGGGTATAATTCTAGATCTGAAATTTGAAAAGCAGCATTGGAAATCACGTCACCACTTCTTCATTCATTCACTCATGCTTCTCAAAGAGAGAAACCCGTGACCTCTCTCTTCATATTGCTCCCATTCTCTTCCACTGTTCCATAATCCAAATCGTGCAAATTAATCCTCCTACCATCTGCAGCAAAGCCAACTTAACAGCTCCTCCAAGTTAAGTGAATTCTTGGATAGAAACTCAACAGTGACAGCGATAGCAAGCACTCAGACAAAGACACAGAGACGAGCAGCAGCATGCACGGAGATGAGTAGGAGCAAGCACAGCAATGAGCAGCAAGCGAGCAGGTGCTTGCTATCGCTGTTGGGAGGGGTTCGAAGGCAGAGAGCACAGCAATGAGCACAACAAGCAGCAAGAGAACTTCAAAGGCAAAGCAGGTGGGGTTCGAATTTCAGTTTCAAAATTCGAAAACAAAAACCATCGAAGCCTGTTTGCTTTTTCATTTTTTTTTAAACCCCAAAATATCATTGTTTTGGGATTTTCGAAGGGAAAACTAAGCTGCTCAATTGACCCAACTTGCCCGTCAGCTTATTCAATTTACACCGAGTTGACTCTGATTTGGCCGGGTTATATTGGGTCACTGACTGACTGAGTTAGAAAGAAAATCAAGTAGAAAGGCCGAAGTTCACAGGTTGACCCGACTAGTTTAATCTAATTTTTCATACAATGCTTTTTAGAATAATTCTAGGATTAAAAATATAGTTTTAAAATTTTTTATTTAAATACTTTAATTTTTTTAAACTCCATTTCACTTTTAAAATTTCATTTGAGATAAATTAAAATTTGTTTCATTTTAAAAATTTAATTTTAATTATTGTTGGCTTATCACTTTAAATGGTAAAATCACTCCCTTAAGACTGATTTAAAAAAAAATTTATTCAAACATTTTTAATTTTATTAAAATCAACTTCTGAAAATCATCGCGTTTTTATAATTAACTTTTTTTTTTTCAATTGAAATGCAAACGCACGCATAGGCTGACACCACCCTCTCCCCTCTTCCATTATAAATTGCGTTAATTGGCAGCGTCGGTTGAGTCTGAAAATTTCTGCCTCCGGCTCCACTTGAGAAATCGGATCTATCTCCCCCATCCTTCCATTTTTCCAATCTATCTTTCTCAGTGTAATTACTAATCCACACTCTCCAAACAACCTTTCTCCTTCTTATTTCTTTCTGTGATTTGCAAATATACGCCAAGCTTTGCTTTCGCTCTGGTGCTATCTTGTCTTCAACCTTCGTCTCCACAAGTTGAACGGAAGCCTCGAAGATTACAGACAGGTCAGTCTCTCACGCTCTCTATCATATATATTCCATTGTGCGCCTGCGCGTCAATTATGGAATGGATTCGTTTTTGCCGTAAATCATGTCTTATCGATGTTTATTTATTCACGTTCCTCCTTCTCCGGTGGAGTGATCCCGTTCGGTTTCAGCGTAAAGGAAAAGAAAAGTTATGTTGTACTGTTATCTGCGAGTTACTTCTTAAATAATGGATATGCAGAGGAATTTAGGCTTTCTTTTCTCTTCTTCAGGTTCCTTCTCTGCTTCTAAAAAGAGCAGTGGAACTATAAAGATTGTCAGGCCCCGTCCGTTATTTTTATATTTTATTTAAAATGAATAAGCCAACTAAGAGAGAGAAATTAGAATTAATTAAGTCTAAATTAAAAGTATTATAATCATTATTTTACATTTTTAATGAACTGAATGCAACTGCAAATTAAATTTTTTGAAAAATCATTTTACATTTTTGTCCGATCTGAGAAGATTTTTAAGTCATCATTCTTATTCTTGAAATTTCACTCAATTGTAATTTTGATTCTTATAATTATATCATCATAATATTTTATACTATTATTTTTTTTTAAATTTAGTCTTTCTGGTCTTAATGGATATAACATCAATTTGATCTTAACTGATTAGTATATCCCTGAACATAACTTCGTAAATGGTTATGAGGATTGAGGTACTGGGTAGAAACAAATGGTTGCATGAAGCTAGCGAGAAGCAGAAAGGTAATAGGGTGGTACGGAGACCCAAAAAAATAAAAAAAGCAAGTATCAAGATTAGAGGCCATCAGAGACGGATTGTACGTCACTGCTCTTGATGAGCACGATGCATTAGCACCGTGAGATGAATAGTTCAAATTTAAAATATTATTTTATTTTATATTTATTAAAATAAAAATTTAAAAAATTTAAAAATAATTTTAATAATTTTTTACTTTTAATCTATTCTAATTTAATTTAATATTAAAATTTTTATAGTTATTATATATTAATTATTCATATACACTTTGTATAATTCATATTAATATCAAATTAAATTTGAATTGTGCAGGTATATGTGTAGTCAATATATAGTAATTATAAAAATTTTAATATTAAATTAGAGTTTTTAAATTAAAAATAAATTTTTTATTAATTTTTTTATAATTTTTATAAATTTTTATTTTAATAAATATAAAATAAAAATATATAATAATATTTTATATCTGAATAGATGATCACCGTGGTGCTGATGACTGACGAGCACCGGAATGAGCCCTGACAGAGTTTCGACAAAATTCCACCCACCTTTTTCTGGCCAACACCCTTCTCTCGTTCACTGTAATTCCACGTTTCCTTCCAATTCTTCCAGCAAATGCCACATCTCTCTCAGATGCCTTGCTTTCTTCATCATCCGCCAGCTGTTTTCTTGGACTAACCGGCCCCAAAGCCTACATATCATAACATTCATAAAACCAGGCTCAGCTGGGCTTAGGCAAGCTTTGGATTTCAAAGCAGTGCCTTTTGTTTTGACATCATCAAATTGGGTATGAAGTCTAACCCACGTCTTTGCATGGGTTTTTAATCCATTTCCCCTGCAGTCAAATCTGCAGTAAACAATTCTGGTTTAATATTTCATAAGAATATTGTTAAAATATTTTTAAAAAAATTAAATCTGAACCGTTCAATTCAGATTTGGATGGTCTAGATCTTCACCTCCACCGCAGATGAAAAGTACAACGGGAAGAAGCTACACTAGCATATTCATACATCATGTGGTGGTCAGCAGAGAGTAAAAGTTTTATATCCCTTAACTCACTGTTCATCTCTATAGGCACTTCACGGGCTGAGTCGAAAGGTTTCTTCATTGATTCATTCATCTTGTAAGCTAATTGATTTACCAGGCAGTTATCCTTCCTTAGCTAGAAGTCAAAGGACTATTGACGCAGGCTGGCCGTTGGGAATGCCCATTGCGATAGTTGTCATTGTTTCTCACTTTCTTAAACTCTTGTGGGCTATGTGTCTGTGACTATGTTGATTTCCTACACGTAGATGCTATAGGCGGTGTTTCTTGATCCATGGTTGAATTGATCCCTTCAGAACCAAAAACAGCAATAGTTTAAATGAACTCATTTGTGCTGATGTTTGTAATTAGATAGGATATGCTTATGTTTAAATGATGTTTGTGATTATCTGCGGGAGACAAATTGATATGCAGTTTCCATAAGCCCATGAGTTGTTTTCATAGAGTATTAGTTAAGATTTTTTTTTTTAAATCACCAGCATTATCTAATTTATTTCTCTGACCTTACTCTAGCATTTTTCATCATGGTAATGGTCATGGGAGATCTGGCTTATTAATTATTTATCATTTGGCCGTATGTAACCTCTTATTGCGACATAGTTGTAAGCAGGATAGCTCATAAATTAAAAATTTTGCTATTCTTTTATCTTATCTGTTGCCAGGTCTTCTCCTAGTGGTCTGAATGAATCCACTGCTTTTCAGGAAATTGGGAAGTTAATTTTGAATCTGTTTAATGGGTTGCTGTAGTTCGAAGGTAGCTAAATCACCAAGTTATGAGGATCCCACCGTTCTTGCTGCTGAGACACCTTGTTAGTATCCTTCATCAAAATGTGTAGTTTGTGTTTGAATTTTCTTTGCTTTTTGATAAGTGGCACAAGGATCTTGCGATCATGTTTCTGTGATTCCATTACACAAAATGTCAATGTCTTATAGCAGCTCATCCCTGAATTCATTTTAATAAAACGTATAGTTTGATTTTAACACTTCTGTTCAAGTTTAATTTGCATGGTCCTTTCGGTTAAAGTTCATACACTGATAGCTGACTTCTACAATGAATGGTAAGTTAATGGTTTCAAAGAAGATAGCAATGCTTTTGTTTCCTTTACTTTGATGTACTGTATCATGCTATTCATTTGTCCTCTAATTCGGTTGGTATCATTATTTTGGGGGTTTCCTTGCAATTTATATTATTTAATAACTCAATGCACTTATGGGTGACAATGACTGAAATTTAAATTATGAAATAATACTCAATGCACTCATCAGTCTTGATTTCTTTTGAAGATTTCCATATTAAAAACTGATTAAAAGAATACTGCATCTATCTTTCCGTCTTCACAGTTTCTTTAAGTGACGTAGAGGCCTTACATGAGCTCTTCAAGAAAGTGAGTAACTCAATTATTCAAGATGGACTTATTCACAAGGTTAGTTGAGTGCTTGGAAGTTTTCATTCTGCCTTCAGTAAGATAACGTGAACTTGATTTTTAATATCTGTTAGATAGCTAACTTATTTATATTATTTTTACATCCAGGAAGAATTTCAGCTTGCACTCTTCAAGGATAGAAACACAAGGAATCTGTTTGCTGACAGGGTGTGTCGATCTGACCCTTGCTCTAGAGTTCACGAATGATTTGACTTAGAATGTTTACTTTAGTTTATTATCTGAAGTGGTTTAGAATGTTTACTTTTCTAAAGTTACAAGACACTGATAGCCATAATAGCTTATTTAAAAGTTAATAGCTTATCAAGATTGGCACCTGTACTGTCTCATTCTAACAGTCTAACCCATGTTTATGCTTGTGACTTTTTGATAGATTTTTGATTTATTCGATCTCAAGCGCAATGGGGTTATTGAGTTTGGGGGATTTGTTCGTTCATTGGGTGTTTTTCACCCCAATGCACCTATAGAAGACAAAATCAGATGTAAGATAGATTATCTTGTAATGGATTTCATGCTAATGCTTTTGCACTTTCCTTTCCTTTATTCGTCTATTTGCAAGAACTGTATGCTTTTATATTTCTTGAGTGGTTTTTAGTTATCTACCAACTTACTTTGTCATCTACTAAGCTGGGGATAGCTATTTTGCAGTTGCTTTTAGGTTGCATGATCTGAGGCACACAGGGTGTATTGAACGAGAGGAGGTATGGTATTCTTTCATTTTCCTTGATCAACTCTTCATAGATTAGACTGTAATATTATGAAGGTTTGGTTGTGCCTATCTTGGACGCATATGCTCATTATAAATTAGATATTTGGATCTATCTTTCACTTTCTGCTTATACTAATGTTTATCTGCAGCTGAAAGAGATGCTATCGGCAATTCTGCATGAATCAGATCTTATACTTTCTGATGATGTCATTGAAACCATTGTGGATAAGGTGCTTACGTGTGTGTGTGTGTGTGTGTGTGTGTCTGTGTCTATACATCTCTGTATTTATCTATCTATCCACAAGCGGCTGTTACCTGCGGATCTCCTTCAAACGAGAATTAATCAATTTTTTGCTGCATTTTCGGCAGACATTTAACGATGCTGATACAAAAGGTGATGGAAAGATTGATCAAGATGAATGGAAAGAATTTGTGTTGAAACATCCATCTTTAATGAAGAACATGACCCTACCATATCTAAAGTGGGTATAAGCTCTTCTTCAATTTATCTACTTTTCGCGTGGACGACAATTTCAGAATGCGTTATATTAATGCATGTCTTCTTCTCATTTTGCAGGGATATAACCTTGGCATTTCCTAGTTTTATTGAAAAATCAGAAATTGAAGACCTAGAGACGTGAGATTTACAGGTTTCACTGTGGTTTCTTTTGTCTCCAGAAATGGTCAGTGGTGATCATAATATAAGGCGAGACCTTTCCTGGGTGGTGATGAGTTTCATCTGTAAACCTTGCAATCTCATGAAGCTATCTGATATATCAAGACAGACTTGCTTCAGCCTGTTACTGAATCTGTTTCGCCGTCTACAAAATGGCGCGGTGCAACTATCTTGTTCTTCTAATGCAAGGCTCTCGTACATTATACTGCATCCAGGAGACGTAACAAGACAAAGGTTGGTCAATCTTGCTTTTAAAGGGTTGCAGTATCGGGATTCATACGAGGCTGCTTTGTCTCAGCCTCTGAACAGTATTACGTCCTAAGGTTCCAGAACTATCAAGAATGTGTCTTCAGGATTACTATGTGCATACTGTAATGCATGTAGATAACATGTTTTAGGTAAGATTTTTTCTGTGGCAACACGTGGCATCATGCGCGGTTTTTTAGCCTCCTGAGAATATGTAAATATGTAATGCCACCTGATGACAATTATTACATTATTATACGTATAAACGTGCAGTTAGGAACGAGTTTTGACATTTGAGTCTTACTAATATTGACCATGAATTTTAAATCAATGTCGTGATTTTTCTTTAGTGTCCTGTTGTCTGCTGTCTAGCCGACTATTGGTAAGGACTGATAAGTCAAGACTCAAGCTGGTTTAGCACTTAGAAATAATGAATTTTTAGCACTAATGATTTTTCTTGTAAAATTACATTTTGATTCTGAATTATTGTTGTAAAATTTAATTTGATTAGCCTAGTTGAATTAAGGCAGACTGACTGAAAGAAACAACAAAACTCACAATTAGAGCCGAGAGTAAGGGTTAATTTTGGCAAGCTGTTCATTTAGACTCATTTTTATAAAAATTTGAGTCTTAAAAAATGATACTTTTTAAGGAAATTAAGTTTAGCCTAAGTTTGATATGCCTTGAAAAAGAGGCTCAAGCTCAAGTGACTCTAGGCTCTCTTTAATTTTTTTTTTTTAAATCCTCCTTGAAACACACTGTTCTAAAATCTGAAGAACTTGGTTTATTGTGATGTTATCTTTGGGCTTTAGGAATTATCTCATTTATATACTGACTCTTTGGATTCAAACTTTATCACATGGAAGCAAATGTTATCTTCTTTTAACTTTGTCTTGTCTTTTTGTTATACTAAGTTTATGTAAGACTTGCATTTTTCGACGTCTAATTAAGATTTTGTTTTGATTTTTTTTTTTTCAAGTTCTTTAACTTGCCTTTTGATTCATTAAAAAAAAAATTTCCTTTGATTTCTGATTTTTTTCATGTTATTTCTTTCTTGTTGGCTTTAAAGTACAAATATTAGAATTTTATTTTTTTTCCCTAATATGGGTTCATGGGCTCGGCGAGCTTCACAAAATAGAGGATTTTAGGAAATCTAGGTTTTAAGGCTTAAGCTTACAAAGCTCGATCGTTTCCAACTTTTGGTCACAATGTTTGTTTGATGCACCTCAATTTAATATGACCAAATTAGCGCTTGAGTTTGGCAAATATATTGTAGGGAGAATCTCACTTAGGCTTTAGAATACAAAAATTTGCATTTAAGGCTTAATAGAATTTAAAAATGCACTACAAACCCAAGAGTCCTTCTTGTAAATTTTGTTATGGACAAAAAGACGATTTGCCTTCGACAAAATGTCCAAACATGCATAACACGATGTCCACGAATCTTAACACAATAATCATGAATGCACAACACATCTAATAGGTATAATTTAAATTTAAAGTGAAATGTACAAGTAAGTAAAGGATAAACAATATAATATTTATGAATACACAACATGATGTCTATCTATTTTCAACACAATAAACATATATAGACCTACAATATTTGTATAACATAAAGTTCACAATAAATAACATACTTAAATTAATGTCCACAAGATGTGTTATGTATTTATGAATATTATGTTAATAATTGGTGGAATATCATGTTATGCATGCATAAATATTCTATTGAGATAAAGGCAAATGTATCTTTTCGTTTACAACAAAATTTGTAATCAAGGTCTTAGGGCTTGCAATTTTTTTGGGTCATAAATGCAATTTTTTGTGTTTTGGGCGCCTAAACATGATTCTCCCTATGATGTGTTGAAATGATTCAAATAAATTAATAATTTTCCTTCGTTATTCCTGTTAAGATGGGAGTCCATCTGACAAACCATTTTGTTCACCAAGCTGGACGTGCATTGTTTCTGACGATTTATTAGCAAATTGAATTTATTATTCTTCATTTATGTTTTTTAAAAATGGGTATTGGTAGACCTGACAATTCACAACCCGAATAAGCCATGAAAAACTTAAATAATCAAGCTCAGCTCAAATTTTTTCGAATAACTCGAATACTTAAATTTTATTTTTAAAATTATTTTTAATTAATTTTTACTTTAAAATTATTTATTTTATTTTATAAAAAAATATATTTTTTTAATACTTAAACGATGTATGTGATTCAAGTATATGATATTTTAATATAAAATGACCTAAAATTTAAATAAATAATTAATACTTATTACATTTTTATATATTTTTTTAAAAATAAAATTTTTTTTAGGTATTTAGGCTTGGCTCAAATCTAAAAAATATTTTTTTTTTAAGATCAGCTTTAAATTTTTTGGATGGATTCAGACTAACCTGTTGAATTTGATTTAAGTTACTAACTCTAGTATTGATACATGTGACATGAATACATTTCTCCATATCAAGCAAGTCTTTTTTGAAAAACTTAAATTAAAAAAAAAATCCATGGATCTTATTGATCTAGTAATTTATCAAAACTTTAGATGTCGTCTCTCAGGTCTCAATGATGTAGGTTAAGAAAAGACAACGTATCTAGCTCACTATTTAAGTATTTATGAACATTGTTTTTCTTTTGCCCGGATAAACATTAATTTATCGATATTTTAAGTTAAAAAAATGATCAAAAATTTATTTAAATTATGTAAATGATAAATTGACTTCACAAAATGACAAAATTTCTCTGAAGTCTCAAGAAATGTTTTGTCATTAGGAAATTATAAAAAATGATACTTTTGCCCTTTATTTATATTAAACAAATTCACAACTTTTATTCATATATTAATAATTTTTGTTTTTAAATTTGTAATAATTTAATAGTTATTCGCAAGTCCTAATTTGCAAGTCTTGATATGCATCAGGTTTAAAAATTCATAATTTTTTATTTACAATTTTTGTTCCTATATTAACAACTTTTATTTATAAATTCACAATAATTTAATAGTTATCTACAACTTCACATTTATAGGTCTTGATATATATCAAGTGTTGAAAATTTATAACTTTTTATTTACAACTTTTGTTCCTATATTAATAACTTTTGTTTCTAAATTCACAATAATTTAATAGTGATTCGTAACTCTGCATATGCAGGTCCTGATATGCATCAGGTATTGAAAATTTGTAACTTTTCATTCATAATTTTTATTCCTATACTAACAATTTTTATTTTTAAATTTACAATAATTTAATAGTCATTTACAACTTTAAGAATTTTTGTTTTATTCAAGAGCAATTTAATCATTTCTTTTAATTCTTTAATGACAAAAAAATTCAATAAGACTTTAAAAAAATTATACCATCTCATAAAACTAATATATCATTTATATAATTTAAATGAATTTTTCTGTGATTTTTTCTATTAACTTTCCACATTACTTGATTGAAAAAAAAAATGGTTGATGTGTAAAATTAAACAATGGCCATTTCATTCAATTTATTTACTCCATGGAAGCTTTTGGCGCCTATATGATATGAGCGTGACAACAGACAAACATGATCAAATTCGTTATTTCATTTTTAAAAAAAAAATATTTTCTAAAACTGAATAAAATCCAAAACATTTATTTATCTTGCTTCACAAATACAACAAAATCCAGGTTGGGTCCTTCCTTATTCTGTCCTCTTCTCCTATCTATCGGAGTGAAGTGCTTGATGCTCTCTCCTCCTTCGCTGGCTCTCTCGAGCCTTTTAATTTCAGAAGTCTCAATTTTTCTGTATAAATTTTGATTTGCTATCAAAAACCTATTCGTTCCACCCAGCAATAAACAAAAGTAATCAGATTAACGTTTCTTCGTTTTTCATGGCAAACCGTTTCTGTCTTCTGCCCAAGTTAGATTCTATTCACTAACCTCGATAAAGAAACTAGGTTAGCTCTAGTAAACTCGAATTAATGCAGTTTTTTTTAATGCTATTTCATTGTATTTCCATTGTTTGCGATTGGATCCAATTGGAATCAAGTTTTTGAGAGTTGTGTTAGAGCTTATGTTTGGAATTTCTGAGAAGGTGGGGACTATTGATAAGGCTTTCTGATTGTCATTTGGAAATGGTTCTGCATATGCTTGTATTTGATTATTGCTTTCGAATAAAGTCTTCAAATTCTTACTGTTTGGTGTCTATAATTATGATTATTTTGTTAAAGGAATTGGTTGGAAATAGTTGGAGTAAAGATCATGAGATGGGTATTTTAATGGATTTGTAAAGTTAAATCGTTTGGTGTTCTTATAAAGAGAAGCCGATGGTTTGACGAAATCCTTTATTCGTATGATTTTTATTTGCTCCATTAAGTTAATATCAACTAGAAGCTCCAGCTTAAAGTTGCTTCAGTTAATGCGTTTCCGTCTTTTTCAAATGCAACCTTTTCCGTTCCTTTTGCCTTTCCTTTTCTAGGATGAGAGGTAAAGTTGGTGCATAAATAAAATTATAGAGTATTTAGATACAATTTGTAATAAGTTTATGCTTCTTCCTGAGAACTGATGGGAAGAAAAATTGAAAATTTTGTAATCTTGCAATTAAAGATTGCCTTCATGTCATGCTCAATCTAGAGGAATTCATTTCCATAATTGAACGCGGTAAAATCCTTTAATTTTATTTGTCATTTTTTGTGCAATCAAACCTAGGTGGCAATGTTACGAGCTAGCTTGCTTGTCCCATAGGTAAAACTATATTTGAATTGTAATTTTGTTTTACAGGAATGCTCTCATAGTCATGTTCCGTTGCAGTTGAATCTTACACTCATTGGTGTATCTGTAATGCGACCAACTGATGAGAACAAGAAGAGGAAGGTGAAGCATTCAAGATTGCTGTCTCCCAAAATGCCAGTGACAGATTTGACTGATGTGCAAAATTTTGATGACAGTGTCTTTTTCCCCATTGAAGAGATAGTACAATACCCATTGCCTGGCTGTGTGGTTCCATCTTCAATAAGTTTCAGTCCTGATGACAATTTTATTGCTTATCTGTTTAGTCCTGATCAAACGTTGAATAGGAAGGTTTTTGTTGTTGATCTAAAGACATCTGAGCAAGATCTGATATTCAGTCCTCCTGATGGGGGGCTTGATGAGAGTAATATATCCTCAGAAGAGAAGTTAAGAAGGGAGAGGTTGAGGGAGCTTGGGTTTGGAGTGACACAGTATGAATGGGTGAAGACAACAAACTCCAAAAAGAAGGCAATTATAGTCCCCTTGCCTGCTTGGGGTTAGTCCTTCCATCCCTCAAATATCTATATTGAAATTTGTCTTATTTTTGCTTTGCATTTTGAAACACATTTTTTAGAGATAAAACTGGTAATTGGATATCTTGTTGAGTGGAGTGCATGGAAAAATATCTTCTGCATTGGAGGTGAAAGAAAAGTAATTATTTGAAATTTATTGGGCATGGTTTTATTCAGAAAAGCAAAAGCAGTTATAGGTATTCTTATTATATGTTGTGCCCTAATAATTCAGTTGGTAGGAACACTTACAAACACATATTCACCAATGCTCTTTTACACTGGCAATGCCACCATGCTGCCACTGATATGCCATCACATGTGTGAAGCGCTGTGTCACTCCCTTTGTAATACTGTTTGCTTGACACAAGCCGCAGGTCAAAAGTAAGATATTGCATTTGAATTTATGAATTGAACCATTGAATGTTGGCTTCTGATGGAGGATGTCATGTTGCTCTAATATCTGATATAGTTGAAAGCTGAAACACATCTAGTTACCGTTCCTGAGCGGGTCTGAAACCCTTGAGTTGATTTCTGCCACTTCATCTTTATCAAGAATAGAGCTTTTGTGCTTTGATGTTTGAGGCATTGCTAGCTACGATAATTTCTACTACACTATATCATTCATTACCCACCTGTCTTATGCCACCTCTCACACATTAGAATGTTATTCTGCCTACACATATATTTCCAAATTCTATCTAACTGCGACTATTTTACTGGGCATTATGAACAGATTTATATCCATGATATTTTCTATTCAGAAACAAAGCTGAAGCTCCCGGGTATACCAGGTTTACCAATTATTGATCCACATCTATCCCCTGATGGGTCAATGCTTGCTTATGTAAGAGATTCTGAGTTGCGTGTTTTGGATATGTTTAATAATGAACTCAAGCAGTTGACACATGGTGCCAAAGCAAATGGCTTGGTGAGTTCCAGAAGTTTTCTTAGTACCCTTTTTTATTTGGAAATTCACCAACTATGAGTCCTATGAAAGGGAATTAATGGAATCAATTTCCTCAGTGCCCTATCAATCCGATTAACCTGAACTAACCTTTCTAACTAAAACCTAAGGATATCCTAAGTCCCTGATTCTTCAAATCAGCTGCACATTGTGTGTTTCGAGTATGCTGTAAGTATTTTGCATTCTTTTATTGAGTGTTCTAGTGGTTAATATTGGTTAGTTTTTTTCTTGTTTTCTTTGGCCTGGATCATGGAAATTTCTCTAAGGATAGTTGCTTAGCTTGCTATACACCATATAGAACAATCTCTTTTAGGCTTCTATGGCTGTTTTCTCCTTATTTAGTTTTGAAAATAAAATTAGAATACAATGAGAAGTTCGAAGAGTTTAAATGCTCAAAATCAGCTCTTGCCTTTTGGCTTCTACTTGGTAGTTTTTGAACATTTATATCATTATATGAATATTAGTTTCATTTCTTTTTTTGAATAAGAACTGGATACTTCTATTCAAAATAAAAGACAAACATTACAAGACAGGAATATTAGTTTCATTTCTGGTATATTAAACTTTGCTACTTTTTGACATTTTTTTCTTTGGAAATATGACACTGTTTTTTGCGTTGCAGTCTCATGGCCTTGCTGAATATATTGCTCAGGTGAGATTTCACTTAGAATTGTACCTTCTTTATTTGCAGCTGTAAATTATTATTAGGGACATTGTCTTCCTAGCAGTCCTTCCACATTTTGGACTGTCCAAGTTAGATTATAACTAGATTCTGAAATTTATGTGTTTTTCCCTTGTCATTATGAGCATAATTAACATTTTCCTCATGTTTTATAGTTTTCTGATTGCAGGAGGAGATGGATAGAAAAACTGGATATTGGTGGTCACCAGATAGTAAATATATTGCTTTCACTGAAGTTGATTATTCTGGAATACCACTTTTTAGAATTATGCATGAAGGTAAAAGCTCAGTTGGCTTCGAGGCACAGGAAGACCATCCTTATCCTTTTGCTGGAGCTTCAAATGCAAAAGTTCGCCTTGGGGTGGTTTCAATAGCTGGAGGTTCTACTACTTGGATGGATCTTCTATGTGGGGGAATGGATCACCATAACAATGAGGAAGAATACTTGGCAAGAGTCAATTGGATGTATGGAAACATTCTTACGGCTCAGGTGTTGAACAGGCACCACACCAGAATTAAGATCCTAAAATTTGATATTAGAAATGGTCAAAGGAAAACTCTATTAGTAGAAGAAGACAACACATGGATCAATTTACATGACTGTTTCACACCTCTTGATAAAGGAGTTACTAAGTTTTCTGTGGGATTTATCTGGGCTAGTGAGAAAACAGGATTCAGGCATCTTTATCTTCATGATGTAAATGGGACTTGTTTGGGACCGATCACTGAAGGTGAATGGATGGTTGACCAAATTGCTGGAGTGAACGAGGCTACAGGTCTAATATATTTCACCGGGACCTTAGACGGGCCAATGGAATCCAACTTATATTGTGCTAAATTGTTCAGGGATGGAGGTCAACCACTGCAGGCCCCTGTAAGACTTACCCCAAGCAAGGGGAAACACATGGTAGTTCTTGATCATCATTTGCAAAGGTTTATTGATATCCATGAGACCCTTGATTGTCCTCCTAGGGTGTTACTTTGCTCATTAAAAGATGGAAGTATGATCAAGCCTTTGTTTGAGCGGCAATTTACAATTCCAAGATTTAAAAAGCTTGAGACACCAGAGATAGTTGAAATACAGGCTAAAGGTGGTACCCTTTTGTTTGGGGTTCTATATAAGCCTGATGTATCAAGATTTGGGCCTCCGCCTTACAAAACCATGATCAATATCTATGGTGGTCCAAGTGTACAACTTGTTTGTAATTCTTGGGTTCATACAATTGACATGAGAGCACAGTATTTGCGAAATCAAGGCATCTTAGTTTGGAAGGTCAATGCCCTGAATTTGCTTTCGGTCATGCTGTATGGTTGCTTCTAAATGTTTTTGTTTCTTGCCTCATATTATTCAAATTCGACAGTATGAAGGAGCTTGCACAGTATTTAGTTACATTATATTTAATTCTTCTAACCATACCTTGAGTTATGAAGCCAAAGTTAAATTAGGAGCGCTGGATTGTTTGCCTTATATCTGCATTGGAAGCTTGATAATAACATGACTGAAATACAAAATTGATCTAATAGAATATATTGAAAATGATGACAGATCTAAACATCATGGAACTTCTGTTGAATGAAGAAGTATATTGAATCATAATTGTTCTTGTCCATCTAGTATGAAAACCTCCTCATCACTTTCTAATTGAGTATTGCTTTTCCTGCTTACAGGTAGATAATAGAGGGACTGCTAGAAGGGGGCTGGAGTTTGAAAGTCATGCAAAACACAATCTTGGTCAAACTGACGCTGATGATCAGGTTACTGGAGCTGAATGGCTCATCAAACAAGGGCTCGCTAAAGTTGGCCACATCGGGTTATATGGTTGGAGCTATGGTGGATATCTATCTGCTATGACCCTTGCAAGATATCCAGATATATTCAAGTGTGCTGTGGCTGGTGCCCCTGTTACGTCATGGGATGGTCATGACACATTCTACACAGAGAAGTTCATGGGATTGCCATCTGAGAACGGATCTGCCTATGAAAGCAGTTCTGTGATGCACCATGTGCACAATATGAAAGGACGCTTTCTGCTTGTGCATGGAATGATTGATGAGAATGTCCATTTTAGGCACCCTGCAAGGCTTGTCAATGCCCTTGTGGCTGCTCGAAAACAATATGAGCTATTAATTTTCCCAGATGAGCGTCACATGCCACGATGGCATAGAGATCGACTATATATGGAAGAAAGGATCTGGGACTTTATTCATAGGAATCTGCAAGATAACTTTTCTGTATTTCTGCATTGTTGTTTAATGTTGGTGGGGAAGCATAGATTATGTTGGTTCTATTTTAGATGGAAAAAAGTTATGGTTTTTGAAGTTTTTATAGGCAAGAGTTGGGCTTGTACTTTCTTTTGCCTGGTAAACTGCCTGGTTTGTTTCGATAGTCAACAACTAGCAAAGCAAGATTGAAACAGTCAAATCATCCTCCAAAACCAAGCAATCCTGAAGAAATTCTTATCTAAGTGACAGCAAAAGTGTTCCGGAGGAAATACTATTGCTGATGGATCTGTTCCCTTTCTTAAACCCCAATATCATCGGGGGTGGTAGAGCCAAGATCTCGAGCCGGGATAGTGGCAGAGCTAGGATCCTCAATATTAAACTTCTTATACTAAATGTGCTTGAGGGTACCTTATTTCACCAAAATAGTTTTGGTTATTTGGTTAGATACACCTTAAACTTTATATATTTTTAATCTATCTTTTATCTTCTAGAGATGAGACTTCTTTGTATCTCTAATACTTGGCACAAGAAAAACTTTTCTATTTCTTCCAAATCTATTATTTCTCTTTCCTTATTTCTTTCTTTTTATTTTTTAATTCAACTTTTAGTTAAAGACTTGAAAGTGCAGCAAGTCGAGAAAAGGCATTCAATGAGTTTATTCTTGAGTTTTAAATTTTTGCTTTTTTGGTCTAGCTAGTATTCAAAATGAGGACAATGTGAGTATGGTTTAGTCAAATTCGTTTTTGTTTTGGGAGAATTTCATTATAGGACTAGAGATGAGACATAATTTCAAATCAATCCTAAAAAATTTTGATATTACACTGGAGGACCAAGGGATTAAATTGAAATTATGTTTTGAAGGGAAAAGACCAAAATGCTCTCAAAATAACTTTTAAAAAAAAATCACTGTTGCCAAAGCACTGACAATTGGACCACCATGGGCAATCATTGGTAGGATTAATTTCCCAAAGGTGGCCAAGGGAGTTTGAATTAAAAGGATAAAGATTACCAAGCCAATGAACATGTTTAATCATATAATGCATTAAATTATATATACAATAAATCTTGTTTCTAAATCTCTTGATTATTATATTATTTTTTAATTATGTAACTTTATTTGTTAATTTCTCAATATAACTTATTAATTACTTAATTTTACTTGTTAAATCTATGACTCCCTCAACAAAACTACATTATTAATTGTTAATTACTTAATCTCATTTGTTAAATTCATGACTCCCTTAATTGAATTACATTACTTATTAATTGTGTAACTTTACTTGTTAATTTTACAACAAGATTTGTTAATTATTTAACTTGTTAATTTATGACTCATTCAACTGAATTACATTACTTGTTAATCATGTAACTTTACTTGTTAATTTCACAGTAGAAATTGTTAATTTCATAACTTGACTTGTTAATATTATAACAAGACTCATTTAATCCGTTGATTTAAAAAGTAACTAAATTACTTACTAATTCCTCAACTACAATTTTTAATTGCCTATTGTCACTTGTTAAATGAATATATATTTTACATAAAATAAATTTGTCAGGTAATGAAAGTGACGATAGTCGAGTCTCCCTTATTAGTCTTCATCAAATTGGATACTCAATTATATATATATATATATATAGAGAGAGAGAGAGGGTAATATCCCAAAAAAACAAATACAATATTAACAAGTAAAATTAAAGAAATAACAAGTTATATTAGGCTTCAAGTCCACCTCTTGTCATAATAATCAAGAGCTTTGGAAATAAGGTTTATGATATATATAATTTTGAGAGAGTCATGGATTTAACAAATAAGGTTAAATAATTAACAACTCTTGTTGAGAAATTAACAAGTTAAGTTACGTGCTTAACAAGTAATGCATTTTAGTTGAAGGAGTCACAAATTTAATAAGTAAAGTTAAGTAACAAGTAAAGTAGTTCTGTTAAAGGAGTCACATATTTAACAAGTAGAGTTAAATAATTAACAAGTCTTGTTGCATAATTAATAAGTAAAATCACACGATTAACAAGTAATACAATTTAGTTAAGAAAAGTCATGGATTTAACAAATAAAGTTATAGGTAATTAATAAGTCTTGTTGAAGAATTAACAATAAAATTACGTGATTAATAAATAGTGTAGTTTTATTAAAGAAGTCACAAATTTAACAAGCAAAGTTAAGTAATTAACAAGTTTATTCGAGGAATTAACAAGTAAAATTACGCCATTAACAAATAATGTAATAATAATTAAGAGGTTTGGCAATAAGGTTTATCATATTTAAAATTTTATGTAAGCCAAGAGGTTATGGGTTCAAACCCTTGGCCACTTTTGAGGAATTAATCATGCGATGGTCCGATAGCTGGAGCTCTAGTGACAGTAGACTTATTTTGTTGAGAAAAAAATTATTCTACGGTATTTAGGTCTTTTCCCTGCAAACATAATTTCAATTTAATCCCTTAATCCTGTATTGTAATATTAGAATTTCTTGTGACTGATTTGAAATTATGTCACATGCTTGGTCCTATAATGAAATTCTCCCTTTTTTTATTTTTTAAAGGATTAATAAATAATATTGGTATTTAGATATAATGAAATTATGAGTTAATATTTACTAGGTTTTGAATTAAAAATTTGAATAGATTTGGAATAAAAAGTAAGATTGAAATGGGTTTAAATTTTAAAATATTAAAATAAAGGATGCAAATTAAAGTGTAAGAAGGAGAGGATGCAAATTATAAAATATAAAAAGTTCATGCTGTCATGCTTGCTATTTTTCCCAAGTGAGTGCCCCCCAAGTACACATGGCTCTCTGATCGTAGGTATATACTCCATCCGTCCCTATATATAAATTTTTTTTAAATTTTTTTTTGTCTTTAAATATAAGAATTGTTAGCATTTTTTTAATGAATGAATCATTATACCTTATTAAATTAAAGAGAAAAAGAAAAGTAATCTCATTAATTTACTTTGAAAAAAAATTCATTTTTTGTTTACAATAATTAAAGATAAAATTAAAATATTATTATGCTTTTAATTAGATAACTAATTTTATTAATTTACATGATTTAATTAAAAACATTTTACATATAGGGACAAAGAGAGTAGTTTTCTCCTGAATCCTCACGTCCTCACATGCATGCATGCAAGTCATGGGCCCACTTCTCCAAAGCCCAACCGATTTCAAGTCTGTCTCCTTAGCCACTTGGACATACCACATTCGGTCCATTCCTTTACCTCCATTTTTAGGGAGCTTAGAAATTAAAGAGATAGTGGTAAAGGTAGGATCTATCTAGGTGAGTGTTGTGCTCGTCTCTATTTTCCGGTGAATTTGTGGGGGCAGGGACACAATCTATGGAAGGATCTTCCGATTAGAATCCTCTTCCTAGACGTTACTGGCGAAACATAGAACATGTGAAATCCTAAATCAAGATTCAGAGCATGATTAGCCATGAAATTTTCTACCCTATTGGCCTCACGATAAACATGGTTTTACTCAACACCCCAGTTCCTTTAGAGTATGCTCGCAGTCAAGCTAGCCAGTCTGAGATGTCAGTTGTGTTGCTAGTTATCAGTGATGATGAGCTGAGTCACAAGTTTGTTATCCAGTTTTGCTTTGATATGCTGACCCAAACCCTATCACCCAATAATTCGACTTGCAGTACAGAACATTGTCTCTTCTCCCCCTTCAACCACTCTCCTTCAGAGCCTCTGATAACTCCTCCTGTTCCAGCATGTGATGGTTAGTAGAAGCTTTCATATATCATGTTGAGCCTATCCCATTTATATGATGGCAGATGGCCTGCTCCAACTAACTCTGATCTGTTTGGTGTAGTAGGATTGAGGTTGATACGATCCCACACTGGAAGTACATGGTTAATGTCTCACTTCCGTGGCCACATAGCTGCACGAATCATTTACTGTCACGTGTCTAGCAGTAATTCTGGGTATGTTAAGGCCAAAAGTTAGCATATCATAGCGAGCCACAAAAACGCTTTAACTCTTGGCTACGAAGGGGATTTAGCACCCACAAGAAATTGAATCCCTATTAACCTCTTTCCGTCGTGTGAGTCACGTGCGTTTAAGTCAAAGTAAAACAAGATAAAGTAACCCGGAGTTGTGGATCCTAGAATTTGTCATTTGAATGTAGTCAAATCTGGAAAAAAAATTAAATGTGGCAAGAGTGGTGAATGTATTGTACTTAGTTTTGGGGTGCGATAAAGTTGAATTCTGTATCTGTGATAATGAAATGTCGGTAGTCCCTGAATCATACAAATAATATTTCATCTTACAAGATCCAAATTTTAGGGAGGGGTGGCTGCCTCTGTGTCCCTTATTTTGTTAATAATATAGTATATTTTGCCATGTGAATCAACCTGCCAAACATCATCAACCAGCCATAAATTATTATTTGATTATTTCAAGTAACTTGGAGTGTGGTAATTAATAAATCAATGGTTACGTTCAAGAGACTTCTCAAATAAGCTCTCATCATCAGCATTATATCAAAATGATTTTTTGCACGCTCTCCCTTCTTGAATGCCAATAATTTTACATGGATTGAAGAATTCAGTTAAAATTAATTGATGCTATTAAGTTTACAGAATTATTCTCAATAAATTGTTGAAAACACTTTTACACTAAAGTGATTCAGTCGTTGGAATTTGATTCATGGAATAGGAGGAGTAGCGATCCAAGGTGAAACAAAGAATTCGTAGTGATCCAAAAATTCTTACTTTTTGGTGCTCTTGCTGCAGAGTGAGATTTCCTATGGAGTTTTCGAAGCAAGCATTCTCTGTATATGCCCAAACTTAATAGGGATCTCTTGTCTCTTTGAAACTAGACAACCAAAATTTCACCGGAAATTAACTAGTAACCCAAAAAAACAAAACCATTATTGTGTTTATTGGCTGCATTATTTGTTCCTTCTCTTGATCTCAAACTGTGATAGCAAGCCCTGTACATTGGGTTCGTCGACGTGATTATTTAAATAATAATGGTGATGATAAACATACGCAAGTTAAATTTTTAGTGCGTGTGGATTTAAAACTTTTTTTTTTGTTTAATCATTCCCATCCCTTAAATCTATTTCATGCATGATAATGAGTTTCGGCATTCACATTTTCCTTACCAGAGAAAATATTAGAAAGAATCATTCTCACGAAACCAATTTTCTTTCGCTTCTTAAATTTGGTTATATGTAAAACTAAACCTAATTCATTGTCAAATAAGGATATATTTACATAGCCTAAGCCAAAGAAGCCTCATTCTCTATTTGATGGAAGCATGAATTTCATAACAAGTCTAATAATCATTATTACCAAGCATGAAAAACAAAACAAGATATATTTGTCCCTCATTTTGTTTTTGTGGAACAACTTTCACGCTTTACCATGACCAAAGTAGTTTTAAAGCAAATCGAATGAAGATTAGGCTGTTCATGCTACATAGTTGGGAAGAAAAATCTAAACTATGGAGAATGAAAGTCATTTTCCTGAACAAGCCTCTCACAGATAAGTACGATTACCCACTAATTGATATTGGTATTAACGATTGCGACATCAAAGTGAAAAGCATTGGTGCCAGCATGATCTTTAAAATTTTTGAAAGTCATGTATATACAGTCACGATACCCATTATATATAATTGTTTTGAGATATAAAAATTACCCACTAATTTTTATTTTTTTAAGATATAAAAATTTATAATAAAAAAAGTAGAATAGCACGATTGGTACATTCACCCACGATTGGTAATGCGATTTACCCTCGTTCGTTTGTAATAAAAAAAAAGGTTGTAATGTAACTTCTGTTGAAATATTTAATTACCAAAAAAAGGAAGAAAATACATTTTTCCTCTCGTTTTGTTGTCTCTTGGTTGAAATAAAATCACTGGTTTATTTAGTCTATTTAAGGCTGAAATAAATAAATGATAGTGTTGGTGATTTTGAATTTTGGACGAAAAGAACCAGCGCTGTATGAAAATGCGAGTCTTGAAGGCTGGGTGAACATGACGAAGAATTTTGACGTGGCAGAAATGTATTGGGTTGTGGTATGCGAAAACGCGCTTGAACAGCCTTGGAGCCCAAGTTTTAAATTTATTCAAAACATCTTCCAAAAGCAACTCGGTCTCTTTATGATTTAACGCCCTGTTTATAATTGTCAAAGGAACAATTTTTACATTAAAAAGGGATGTAAGTATATAAAATATATTCAACTAGAGTAAACTTCTTCTAATTAATTATTTTATATAAGGATTGATATTCAAATTTATAATGACTTGTATAAAATCACTCATATCAATTTCAATTCGTTAAACAATCTTTATTCTACAAGCAACGCATAAACAAATTTTAAAAGTTATTTATATTTATTATATTTTAACGGAGTGAATGCATCTTTTAAATTTTAACACAGAGAAGTTATGAAGCATAATTTAGTTTAACAATAGAAACATGTTGTGTAATTTATTCAAAAGTCATATTTGATTTTTTTTAATTAGTAATTTCTTAGAATTATTATCATAATATTGTACGCCTAGAAAATTTGTTTCAAAATGATGGGGAAATCCAAATAAAATTCCAGTCACTGGAATGTAAATCTTTGAATTTTCAATTTAAAAAATTCAACCCTATTCTGTAAATCAAAACCTTGAATTGTCAGTACATTTTAAATTTTACAAAAAACATAATGTCTAAGAATTGAATAAAGGGGCCTACATCCAAATTCTCCAAAGTTTTGGGGTCCATTTTTAAAAATATAATATTGTAAATGCCCAACAAGCATTTGGCGGACATTTGGAAAATGTCGAACATAGTAACGTCCGTTCTCACGTCGTTAGTAGTCTGCCACTGAGCTCGGTGTTTTGTCGTCAAGGACGTCCCTATAAATAGCCCCGTCCCACGTTGCTCTCTAGACTCTAGTACTTTAAATCTCTCTCTCTCTCTCTCTCTCTCACTCACTTTCCTAGAAAACCAACTAGAATTTCCGATTCTTCTGGGGAAGAAGACGAAGGAAACACCCGCGACGACGAGAATGGAGCTACATTTTTCAAGTGTCTCGTATCATCCCCTTCCTACCTGATTTTCTTCGATTTGGCTCCACTTTGTAAGCTGATCGATCTCTCTGTAAGATTAGTTTTATTTTACAGATTGTCATTCCTCAGTCTAGATTGTTTAGCTTCATCGAAATAGGGAAGAAATTTTTCAAAATATTTGCCAGCTTGCCTTGAATCACGAGAGATGTTTTTCATTATTCTTCTCATCTATTTTCCATTTGCCGATATCCTTTCGTTTCTATGAACATTTGTAGATATCTGAAATTTCTGTTTATAGCTTTTCCAACTCTGGTATAGATGCCGTGACAGTGAGTTTTGACACGGGAAAAAAAGCATTCAGCTGAGATGAAATACATTGCTTGTTGCATTTCGATCACGCTGCTCATTAAAAAAAAAAAAGAAGAAGTCGTGCATAATAATTCGGAAGAACGATTCTCTTCTTATTTTCTTTGGAAATTATAGGATACAATCTGAAGTTTATGGAAGGTAGATATCCATTAGGCTAACTGATTTATTGCTATGTTTTTCTTTCTATGTTATCAGTTATTACGTATCTGATTTACTTTCCCCCCCCTATTCTCACAGATTCCTTGTTATTTGACTGAACTCCGATGAGCTCCTTTCTATTTGCAGGGCTATTGCGCTGATCGGTCGTTTTTTTCTTTCTAGATAGCTATAATATTTCCAACAACGAAGCTAACAGGGCCATTCAAGTCTGAAGAAGAATGTAAGTAGTTTTGGTGGATCACCTCAAGGATTCTGGTGATCTTAATTTTCTGGGCGTCCTTGAAAGATTTCGTTTAGCTAGGATCTCTGACTACGGGAAGAAGACTATATCACATGTTTAATGCGTAAACTGTTTGTTTACTGGTGAGGTTGCATCGGCTGCTTTTGCTGGATTAGTGTCAAGAATAGACGTGGAGGAAGAAAAAAGGTTAAGGTTGCCTGCTCTGTATTTCCTTACCAAATGGCTTTGTCGAATAGAACACTTCTATTCTATTACTGGTTTTAAGGTTCATAGCTTGTTCATTTTTAAGCCAGCAAGGATTTGAACCTTTGAGTAGGCAATGGCTAGTGTGGCACTTAGTTCATTGTACGAAAAATCTTTTAACTCCCCTGGTAGATTTACCAACTTCTGTGGTCCTCAAATGAGGGACTCAATTTTGATTTACCTAACAGTTGGTGGATCTATGATTCCCATGCGTATTATGGAGACAGATTCAATTGCCTCAGTGAAGCTGAGAATTCAGACCTTTAGAGGCTTCTTTGTAAAGAAGCAGAAATTGGTTTTTGAGGGGAGGGAATTGGCTAGGAACAATTCTTGTGTTCGTGATTATGGTGTGACTGATGGGAATGTGTTGCACTTGGTGCTGAGGCTCTCTGATATTCAAGCTATTACTGTTAGGACTATATGTGGAAAGGACTTTGAGTTTTATGTTGAGAAGAATAAAAATGTGGCTTATGTTAAGCAGCAGATTGAGAGGAAGGGCAAAGGATTTGTAAACCTCAAGGATCAAGAACTGATATGTGATGGTGAGGCGCTTGAAGACCAGAGACTCATTGAGGATATTTGTAAGGATAATGACGCTGTAATTCATTTGTTGGTGAGACGGTCTGCCAAAGTGAGGACTAAAGCAGTTGATAAGGATTTTGAATTGTCAATTGAGGCACCGTACGCACACGAGAAGGTGGTAAATTTAGGTGATGAACATTTAGAGCCACTGTTTGTGACAAATAAGTTCCTGGACAGGAAGCAGTTGATAAAAGATTTTCTTTTGCAACCAATTATTGTTAACTCCAATATCAGAGTTCCACTAGTGATCCAGGAGCTGATTAAAACTACTTCACAGGGCTTAGAGAGGGCCAACAAACCAATTCGATCTTCAGAGGGTTCAGGAGGTGCTTATCTCATGCAAGATTCATCTGGTTCAAAGTATGTTTCTGTTTTCAAGCCTATTGATGAGGAGCCAATGGCTGTTAATAATCCTCGAGGGCTTCCTGTTTCCGTCAATGGAGAAGGCTTGAAGAAAGGCACACGAGTAGGACAGGGGGCATTGAGAGAAGTTGCAGCATACATTTTGGATCATCCTAGGAATGGGCCTCGCACTTATAGTTGTAACAATGAGGAGCGGGGATTTGCTGGGGTTCCTCCAACAGTAATGGTGAAATGCTTGCATAAAGGATTCCAGCATCCCAAGGAATGTAAGTATGAGTCAGGTGATATAAAAATAGGGTCGCTCCAGATGTTCATGGGCAATGTCGGAAGTTGTGAAGATATGGGTCCTCTTGCATTTCCAGTAGAGGAGGTGCACAAGATCTCAGTGTTGGATATCAGATTGGCAAATGCAGATAGGCATGCTGGAAACATCTTGGTTCGCAAGGATGGCCAAGATGGTGGAATAGTACTTATTCCAATTGATCATGGCTATTGCTTGCCTGAGATGGTAAGTCCTCCACTATCCAAATGTGGTGATGCTATAATTATGTTTTTGTATTTCTATGATTATTTTTGCTGCTAAAACTTTTATAGATTTCCTTTGTTGGCTTGGCTGCACCTCCAATTGTAACTATTTATTTTAACGGTATTCTCCCTGCTGAGTATATAGTTTCACACTCCTGCCTGTCTATATCAGAATGTATGCTAGAACAACAATAAGAAAAAGCTAAGAGATTGTAATGCCTCAGATTTGTGCCTGTCGACATCATATTATTATTATGCTAATCTGTTTCTATCGTTGTGTCTGGCTTACATACTGCGTGACAGAGATGGTGCTAACAGTAGTCGTTGTTTCTGTTGTCGCTATTTCTATATACTTATTCTTCTACCGTTGCTTCATGTTGCTTTTCCTTTTTTTTCCTTGTCTTGTAGTTTGAAGACTGCACATTTGATTGGTTGTACTGGCCACAAGCTCAGGAGCCTTACTCTGCAGACACCATTGATTACATAAAATCTCTGGATGCTGAAGCAGATATAAAGCTTTTGAAGTTCCATGGATGGGACCTTCCTGCCAAATGTGCTCGTATCCTTCGCATATCAACCATGCTTTTGAAGAAAGGTGCTGAGAGAAGACTCACTCCTTTCGCCATCGGAAGCGTCATGTGCAGAGAAACACTGAAGAAGAAATCCGTCATCGAGCAGATTGTTGAGAAAGCAGAAGAAGCTGCACTTCCTGGATCGAGTGAAAATGCCTTTCTGGATATTGTCTCAGAGCTCATGGATAGTCATTTAGATGAGCTAGCCCTTTGAGTAAAATACTTATATGATGATACAACCATCTCCTCCCATTCTCGTGTTGCGTGGATTGTGATCACACCTGTTCTATCACCTTATCACGTGTCGAATACTCGCGTTGTTGTGTTGCAAAATGAAGTATATGACCTTATGCTTGTGTGTGTGTGAAACATGAAAATAGTATAACGACCATGAATGTTTGCACGGGCTTGTTCTAGTAATTCACCCTCTCACTTTGCTACTTGATGAATAAAACACAAGTTTTGGGCCTACCAATTTTGTCTTTATTAATTAACGAGGCTCTCATTTCTAGTTCTATGGTCAACTCTAACTGCCTCTCACTCCAAGCCTATTCCAATCAGTACCCTCACAAATAATAATTACCATAAATCAACAACTATTGTTGTTTACAACTTTATATAATTTTATTACAACATTTGTAAAAACAAAAAATTGAGACCGGAAAACCTATATGTTTACATCATAAAATTAAAAACCCATAAAAATAGGAGTAAATACACGGGTCTTTTTCGGCCATGTTGGACCGAGACTTGATAGCGCTAACCACGCCTATACCTTGAGCGAAATTGAATTCATTCAGTTAGATAATCCTCCCACGAATGCCACCCCCGTTGACGGCAACCACGACGACCCCGCTATGAATTGGGCCACCGTGAACCTACTCGCCTCCACCGTTGACGTTATGACTCGATACCCGGGCCACTTGACCCGTCCTCCAACAGCCGCACCCGGCCCGCTATTCATGTACTCTCCATAATACAACTTGTCGACTGGAGACGTGGCATTCCACTCCAACCATCCACGTGGATGGATGTGGTCCCCCATTGTGGAAAGCATGTAAACAGTTCTAGCGTAAATTTTCCACGGACGGCCTAGATAGGTCGGGATGCTTCCCTTGGCTGCCTCCAGATCTGAAGTGGCTTGGATCTGACAATTATGGATCGAAATCCCCGTGTTCTGATTCGGGTCTTTTCGATTTTGGGCCGTTATAGTGTTCTTCTGCTGATCCATGGGCTTTCGAGATACAAGGTTGCAGTTTTGGAAAACCACAGCAGCGTTGCCAAAGATGAAGTCAACGGTCCCATAAATGTCACATTCCCGGAAGAACTGACGGTTGGAGTGGACATAACATGTGTCTTGGTATCCGATGATACTGCAGCGGTACACCACCGCATGGTCGGCTCCAACACGGAGGGCCACAGCCTGGTGCTTCCCCGGCCCCGCGTAGTTCTCGAATGTCATGTCCCTGGCAATAAAACCAGCCCCAGAAGCAGCTAAAAAAGCCATTAAATCAGTCAGAACCTTTGAAGTAATTGCGAAGAAATGCTTTTAGTAGCTAACAAAACCTGGTTGGTGCAGGAAATTTCGAATCCTTAGAGACAAGGATGAATAGTACATGTAATTGAAGGAACCCACCACCAATAATTCAGTAATTTGGGGTCTTCATGAAAGCTTGGCCATACGTTATGCTTTCAAGTTTTTTTCCCCTTTTGTGGTGGGGGGGGGGGGAGAATGCTTTCAAGTTTAACACGGTAAAATTATAAGATGAAGACATCAATTTTTGTTTTGTGACAGGGAAGCTAAAAAACACATATGTCGATGAGGGAAGGATATATAGTTTTATCTACGAGGTGCAATTATTAAATCGCGTGAAGAGGAGTACACATGCAAGAAGATAACTGGGAATCTAAAACCTGGCAAGCATTATCTAATTTCAACTTCTATTGGTCTCCCTCGTACACAAATGGTTCGTTTTCGAGTTTTTGGCTCTTTCCACTTTTTATGAGTTAATGGGAAAACGGTAAAAGGCAAAACTGTGTGACGAATTGATTAAAATAATATATGAAATAAATTCAAGAGATCACAAGAAAAAAGAAAGAGGGAAAAAAGGGATCTCACCGAAGGAGGCAGTGTGGAAGGTGGTGGTGCCTTGTGCAAAATTTTTTCCACCTGTGATGATTGTCTTGCCCTTCCCTTCACCTATGAACATCACATTCGTTTTCTTCCTCCCAACCTTCAAATTTTCCTCTTCGTACCTAACCGTTTTATACCACACAAAAAAACTGCAATCTCATCTCTATCTCACCACAAAAACTGGCCTCTTTATGTATATCAATTAAACATTGCATTTGGACTACCTACTTGTCCAAGCCACTGTTTATACTATTAACAATAGCAATAGCCCTATGTATTTACAAATGGGTGTAGATAAATTACTTTAATTTCTAAACTAACAATGGAGGACATTATTAATGGTGTCGTAGAAAGGTAGCAAAACAAAACTAAATAATTATTAATTAATAAATATATTCACGGGCATGCATGATTATTGTTGATTGACCACTGGCGATTGAACGAGCTGAGTCACTCGCACAAATATCAAATGATCACAAAATATTCACTTGCATAATGATGATTGTTGTTGTTAGTTATCTTGAAAGTTAAAAGATCATTGTTTTTTTTTAAAAACGAATCGTTCAATTACCAAAAGACCACTGAATCATCACTTTTATTACCTTCCTGCCTTCACGTACACAATAATACGGCGACCACTGTGCTCGGGCACTTTCTTTATCGCCTCCGTGATGGTCTTAACGGTTCCGCTCCCGTCCTTGGACACGATAATATCGGCTTGGATAGCCGGTGCCGGCGTGCTCAACAATATTCTATCTCTTTTGCTTAACCAGGTCGGAAATTCCCCTGAGATATCGCCATTGTTGATTTCTCCCATTAATCTTCTTCTGTTCTGTATCGGAACCCCTGAGAAATCGTTGCCCACATCGCTCCCGGAGTATATTGCCAGACAGTTGCTAATGAGCTCCGACAAGTCCTTCAAGTTACCGGCCATCTGATCCTTCACCGTCCCGCTCGTGTCCGCGAAACCTTCACTGCACGTGTCTTGATTAGTGAGGGCGGCGCTGAGCCATGTCAGCACATCGTCGGTCGATCCTCCGCCGCCGCCGCCGCCTCCGGAGGGGGAGGGAACGACGGAGGTGAGTGAGCGGAGGAGCGCGTCAACGGAATCCTCGAGGAGTTCGAGGCAGTCCTCGTATGCCGACCGTATGCGCCGATCCATCTGGACGTTGGAGATGGCAGTGGAAGAATAGAGGGCTCTGCTCAGGTGCTGCAATGTCACGTTGAAGGAAATGTGGACGAGGTCCTGCTCCGAGGCGACGGCGGAATCCGGGAAATCGAGGAGGACTTAACGCAGAGGGCGGGGAACTGAGTTTTGCCGCAGGTGCGTGAAATAGCCTGAGAGGGCTTACCGCCGATGCCAGGCCCGTCTCGAGTGGAATCCCGGGGTCGGATTCCGACAAGGACGACGGCGGAGACGGCTGAAGCCACAACCAAAATGACAGCCAGTACGGAGAGGAAGATGAGTTTCTTCTTGCTCCGGGAGGTGGGGGGAGGAATGGGGGCATCGGTGCGGCGGGAGGAGCCACCGGGATCGGAAGGTTGGAGCCTGCCGTAGTTCATGGAGTAGTGAGAGAGTGTGAGGAGAGAGAGAGAGTATGGAATTGAAGCAGTGAGCAGTGAGCAGTGAGTAGTGAGACAGGCCAGAATGAGAGAGATTGGTTTATATGTTGTAGGAAGTGGGAATGAAGGGTGAGCAAGTGAGATGGTATAAGAAGCAAAGAAAGGATGTGAGATGGTATAAGAGCAAAGAAAGGATGTGAAATTAATTAATTTAAAAAGGTGATTTAGAAAAGGGTATAGTCACTAAAATGAGGAGGAGAGAGAAAACAGATAGAGTAATAACAAGTGGGTTGATCTCAGTGGAGATCTTAGATTCAAAAATTATATAATATATGTGCGAAAGCTTCACTCTAAATGAACTTCAACGCATAACCTGACTCAAATTCAAATAAGTTGAAGTTCAATATGACTTCAAATGCAAGTTGCTTTGATATATTTAAAAAAAAAAAGAAAAAGAAAACAAAGAAGGGAGAGAAGTTGCGAGGATAAGTAATACAAGTATTCTATGCCTTGTCTTATGCTGTGAAACCCTTATTTAAATTAATCATATTTTTTAAGTCCACCTTTTATTGATAAGGTAGGGCTGTGTCCAAAAAGCCTGTTTTATGATTTGTTTTAAAAAAAAATTTATTTTTAATTATGTCAATACTTAACGTGAAAACAATCATGTCATTTTCATATATTAATTCAAAAATAAAAACAAAAATAAACTAAATAATTTTAACCATATATTTTATAATATTAACAATTCCAATCACACGTTAACTAAAAAAATTAACAAAAAAAAAAATCAGGTCTGACAAAGGCTAGCCCCAACTTTTTTAAAAAGGTTTATAAGGATATTATCTAAAAGTTGTTTTATACAAGTTTTTTTTTTGCTTTTTGGTGTCAGGCCTATAAAAATATCGGAGTTAAATCACTAAATCAGTAGCTTGAAGAACCCGTCATCCCAAGTAAAAAAACTCTTCACCTTTTTCCTCTCTTTCATTTCCGTTTTCTTTTTCTTATATTTTCTTCTTTCTTATAGTGATCACTTCACCTATGAGTGGCGCCCCCATTTTTATTCCTCCCCTCCTCAGTCTCTCACTCCACCATTTTGATTTGTTCTTAAACATACAATACTTATTTATAAAGTCCCAATTATTTTTCTCTAAATACGTACCCTTATTTATGAAGTTCACTTGAGGCTTTTCATACTTTGTCTTTATTAATATTATCATTTTTTTTAATGGATGCAGAATGAAAAATTTTAATAAATATTTCAGATAGCATAGTTTGAAGTCTCTAATTATAATTAGGAACAAATAATCCCTCCAAAAATTCTCTCATACATAAACATCACTTAAAGAAGGAACTTGTATTTTGTAACAAAACATTTGAGAGAATGGCTACGAGGGTCCCATAAGAGGAGGGAAATAGGGAGGCCCTCATCAACCAAAAGTTTATATTTGCACAGGTAAAAGTTCAAGGATTCACTTATGCATAATTGTTCAGGGCTCTCACTACTTTTTCTTCTTCTTTGAGAACCCTCACTTCCATTTTTTCCAAAAAATGCTTTTGAAATATAACTTATAATAGACGGCAAAGGAAACTGATAAAAAAAAAAAAGTCAGCGAAGGGAGTATTTCGTTTGCATGTGAATAATTTTGAAATGCCATGCATTATTAGATTTCTTTTTCACATCCGTCACCATACTTCTCGTACTTCTCAACTTTTGAGTGAT